CGGTATTTGATGTGTACAGTTTTCTATATTAAGGTCTTCTGTATTAAACTTTAAAAATTGTTAATTTTTCAACTCAGACACAAAGGCAGTATTACAAGAGACAGGCAAAGATGTATGATATTAATGTCATTACTGAGTAAACAGAGTAAGAAGCTATCAGAAACTAGATAATGTTATGTGAACACTCAGTATTAGCAAGAATGTGCCTGACCTTAATTTTTTGCTGAACACGTATGTTCTTTTTCCTTTGGTCTTTCTCAGATATTCACAGAAACACCTCTTTCCTTATAAAATATTCTTCTTTCTACATCTGTGAAAACGAATTAAAGTGAGCAGAATGTACTTTAAAAAAAAAAATCAGCAGGCAGTCCTGCTGAAGACCCAAGCTGCTTATGGAGATAATACTGAAGAGAAATTTAAGTCATCTAATTAAAATATATATTCAGAAAATATAGGGTTGTTTTAGAAATACACATATTTTAAAGAACTTTGGGGAGGTTTCATTTTTAATTTTTTTTTTCTGTAAAATTTAAGGTGACTTCAGAGATTGCTGTTATAGAGTGTAGGAATTAGAGGAGTTTTGAAAAGCCCATGAAAGAAAGTTTTAGTGAAAGAAATGCTTGCAGCAAGATATTTTTTTTTTAATTTTTTTCATTTTTATTAATACAGAATATACTAACAGTAAGTTATCTTTCAATATAATCAAGGTTATAAATAAACTGTTACTAACTCATAAACAAATAACAGTCACTTGACTCTTCTCTTGGTTGAGTAATTCTCTATTAGGTAGTACAGTTATTTTTACCAATTTATTTTTAAATTGCTTTATGATTTTAAAGAAATTTCTTAGTCTTTACTTATTAAATAATTCCATCAATTGGGAACTTCATATATCACAATTATTTCCAGCAAGTTAATGCATTCTCCAATACCTTCTACTCAACCTAGTTGTCTTAAACTGCATTCTGATTCTTTGAAAGCTGAGTATGACATCAGTGTTTTCAAAAGGTGAGCATAAAGCCCGTAAGAAAGAAATGTTTTCCTTCCTTCCCCCAGTCACAGAGGTCATATGAGTGTTCCACATTCTTCATATTTAGCAACAGGAATCCCTTACAACTCAAATGGCAGCAGACAAGGGAGAACTTAGGCCATCAATGTACTTTTAAAACAGATAAAACTCCAAATATATTATAAGATTCCATCTTCACCACAGATGACAAAGGGTTGGAGAGGCTCTTTGACTTTTCTGTAGCAGTAATCCTGGTCCTCCAGTTAGAAAAAGAGACACAGGATGGCAGTCCTTAAACAGCACAAACTGAATCCACAAATACTGGGAGAAGCCCTCTCCCCTATTGATATATCCCAAAAAATACATTGCCATGTGCAAGAGGGTCAATTATCAGAATAAATAACCATATTCTGAAGGACTGACAAAAACAAAGAATAGTTTTACACAAAGAATACCCTATGCACTCAGAAATTTCAGGATAACCATACATTAAGTACCTCATGCAAGTAATATTCTGTTAAGTATGAACTACAGGTTCTTTTAACTGAATTTCATATTGTACAAAATTTAAGTGTGGCACATTTCTACTATTACCATTACATTATTTTTTTTAAATGTAGTCAAAATTGATACATTACACAGAACTTTTGATTGAAACTATTACCAAAGGAAACCATTACAAACTCTTAATTCAAACAGGCGTTTTTCTATACAAACATGAGTTATTTTAGTTTAAAAAAAATAGCCATTTCAATGCAATTAAGCCACCTCTGATTAAGACATACATTTCATGCATGTGAAAAAATAAGTTTACATTCAAGAATCAGTTCCATAGCAAACAAATTACAGCATTTATTCAAGAAGGAATATTAAAAATAATTCCAGGTAATAGAAAATAAAATAACTTCATGCATATATATTATAATTTATCATGTACATACTCCAAAATCTCCAGAATTTAATTAGGAAATTTAAAGAATTTCTTTTGAAAGTATGTCTTAGAAAAACCAACCAAAACAATTGGTGCCGTAACTAAAGAGAATGTCCATACACATCCACATTTGACCTACATGTAAAAACTGGATGAAATATAGAGGAAATAAAGGTTACTGTTTTCCAAAATCTCTGCAATATAATATTAGTACTTAGGTCAAAACACTTACCTGAAAATTAAAAACAGCTTGAGGTATTTCCAATGCTGAAGCAAATTTCTGAATGTTAAATACCACAAGAATGAAAACAGTCTCCTTTGAACACTTAAACCTGGTTTACAGTTGAGACAGAAGACAAGGTCTGCCAAGAAGTTTTCCCATCTCACCTATATCCTTGGATCCCTGATGAAGTGTAAGCTTCAAGGGAAATGGTCACATGTAAAAACAGCAAGCAAGATGAGTTTCCTGACTGCAACATCTTAGCCAAAATGGAAAGTGGAATTTTAAATTCTCCTGAGACCCACCTGACATCTTCAGACACAGCATTAATTCCTATGCTAGACAGGTTAAGCATGTCCTTTGAAATCAAATCTAATCTTGACAACTGTACTGGATAAGCTGAATACAGGAATCATCTCAACAAAGATGGTACTTTAAGCCTTTACACACGACACATGAAAATGATGAAGTGTTTTATTTAGATTTGGTCTTTCTTCATCTTTTTGTAACTCTGGATCCTGAAAAGTTAGCAAGTCGTTATACTCATACATCTTGTAATCCCTTTCTTCACACAACAGGCACACATATACAGTATCATATGTCAATATATTATCATCAACACAGCATAAACATATAAGCAGCAGACGCGTTTCACGTGAAAGAGGCTCTATGCATCACATAGCCTGTCCCAACAACAACAAAAAAAAACATCAGAATGCCATTTCAGCAGTTACAGTGTTGATATGATCAGTATAGCTAATCTGTTTTATACCCGTCATATATTTTGGTAAGTCATCCATAAGGAAGAAGCAGAAGACAAAGACTGCTTTTTAAAAAATGTTATGTGCCAACTTCAAAAATGACATACTAACCAGAACATAGCATCTGAAAGCTAGGTTGAATAGGACTGGCCTCGATGCACATGCAGTAAATTTGTTTTCAGAATATAAAATTAAATGGTAATGTCAGCAGTATTACTACTGTTTCCATATTTATGATTAATTACTAGCATTACAACTCCCAGAAGAAAGGAGATGGATCCAATAGCAATGTAAGCAATCCCCAAAAATGGATTTTTTTTTCCTCCCATCCATGAAATGGTACTCAAGATCATCCGCTTCCGTCCATCAAATGAATGTACAGGGTAATTGTATGTGATATTCAAATAGTATTGTCCAGCTGGTAATGTTGGATGTAAATCATTTCTCCGCTCTATAAGACGATATAACTTACGAAAAGTAGGTAATGCTGCAGTACGCATCCAAACAATAAAATCCTCATTTATGAATCCATTATTATCTTCGTCAGAATCCAACATGTAAACTGGTTTAACCCAGTTTACTGGCTTTGTTGTGCTTTGAATCGTTCTGCTAATGGGTCTGTTCCCGGGGGATTTCTGAATTTTACATTTTTATCTGTCCACCAAGCAATACCTTTCTTTTTCAAAGGAACAAGCATAAGATCAGATGCATTGCCAACCTGAAACAATTCTAGTGTATCATTAAACATGCTGTTGGCTATAGCCCCACAAGGAGCAATTGGTTTGTCTTCATTTCTTCGATAAGGCTCACACTCCTTACTGGGATTAAGCAAAGCACTAGGATCTCCATTTAGCTGACCATCATCTTGAGTTTTCACATAGCGACGATGGTTTTGATAGAAATTAGACAGTCCATAATACATAAACACATTGCCCTCAAATGACTGTTCCAGTGTGAAGTTAATGGTACAAATACAAGGTGTCACATTCGGAGACAAACATTTATAGCAGGGACTGGAAGGATCTGTTCCGGTATAATCAATCTCGATCTTGCGAATGTTGTTGGAAGTGACGAAGATGCCGATGCCAATGGGGATGAAGATGAGGCCGATGATGAAGAAGGTGGGCAGCACCGTCCCAGCCGTCAGGGTGGGCTGTCAAGCCGGCAGCCGTTGCTGTTTGAAGGCCGTGTTATCTGGTCTCTGGGTCTTTGCGGTGCCCCCGGCAGGACACGGGGGCCCACCGTCCACTTCATCCTTCGCGTTATAGTTCATCGCCATCGACCCCCGGGGCGCGGCTCCGCGACGCGCAGGTGGACGGCCCAGGGGACCCGCCTGCTGACCCTGACAGAAGACGCGCAGGCACCGCCGCCGCCGCCCTTAGGATTTTTTTTTCCTATTGTACTCACCAGATGCTTTGGTAATTTTCATTTTGTTTACTTTTACTATGCATAAAAGTAAAGAGATAAATATTAAACTGACTTTGAACTTGACAAGGGCAGTAATTAAAATCACTGGTTTAAACATGCATGAAAAAGGTATCACTGTCACCAAGTTAGGACAGAAAAGATCATGGAATATCAATTCTACACGTACTTAAAGCAAGGTATATTTTATATACATTCAATGATATTAACCTTCAAAGTTTATATGATAAAGAGAGCAGTATGAGATGATGAATGATAGAAAACATAACGGTTTTCATTTCTATAGTGACAGAAAATCTAAAGAGAAGATTAGCAATTTGATGCATGCTGGAAAGACTATTCAGAAGCTGACATCTAGACTCATTTATGTATTTATGTCTGTGCTGGGTCTTTGTTGCTGCACCTGGGCTTTGTCTAGTTGCAGTGTGTAGGCTTTTGCAGTGGTGGCTTTTCTTGTTGTGGAACATGGGCTCTAGGGCGTGGGCTTCAGTAGTTGTGGCACACAACTCTAAGGCATGTGGAATCCTCCAGGATCAGGGGTCGACTTGTGAATCTGTGTCCCCTGAGTTGTCAGGCAGATTCTTTACCACTGGATGACCAGGGAAGTTCAACAACTAAAATATAAGAGAGAGAGAGGTAAATATGTAGAGGATTTGCTTAGAAGAAACTGAACTTTAGCAAGTTGATAAAGCCTGCAAATACCAGATGTAGAGATTAATTGAACTTTTCCTTGTCCATCTGGAAATAAGTTGTGATCTTCCAGGGAAAGAGGCAGTGTGTGTCACTCCTGGGCACTATTTCATGGCCTGATAGTGTGGAAATATCTCTTAAATGCTTCATAGAGGCCATCCAATCTGCCAAGGATTAATTAAAACCAGATCTGTGCCAGCTATTAAAGTTAGGACCTGGCAATCTTTTTTCACTGTGTAGCCCTCTAAATCCATAGTGTTCAGGGGCCCTGACATCCGGTTTAGTTGTTTCTTCTTCAATTACTATTGGTGGAGCTACAGTAGAGTGAGGATGAATGTTATCTTGCCTTTGAAGCTTGAAAGTTAATTTGTCTTTAAACTGAAGACTTCAAATCCATGAACCAGAAGTGTCAGAAATAAATACACATTTATATATTCTGGTGAGATGATTCAACGCATCAATGCTGTGCATAAACATGTAGGATGAATTCTCCAAAGCAACTGACTTCTCAATTTATTTTACATAGTGTCAAACAGAAGAAAGAAAAGAACATTTGTTTTTTAGTAATCCAGGGATTTCCAAAATATGTTGTGAAACTATAAGCAAAATAACCTAAGGAATAAGAAATGTCTTTTATTAAGTATGCTTTTGAAGATAAGACAAATGCATTAGTTTTACATATATATATATATATATATATATATATATATATGACATTTATGTATACACAATGTCTATCTATCTATCTATGTATATACATGTATATATTGGATTTGCCTGATGGCTCAGGTGGTCAGAAATCTGCCTGTAATGCAGGAGACACAGGTTCAACCACTGGGTCATGAAGACCCCCTGGAGGAGGGAATGGCAACCCACTCCAGTATTCTTGCCTGTGAAATCCCATGGACAGAAGAGCCTGGTGAACTACAGTTCATGGGGTTGCAAGGAGTCAAACATGACTTAGCGACCAAGTACACATGCGCGCGCGCGCACACACACACACACACATCTGTATATGACTGTACTTTGTATTAAACTGCTTAGTATGTGATCTCTTCTATGTAATTGTGTGAAATGAAACCTAATAAACATAGAGGATAAGGAAGGAGCTTCTTCTGATGCCCATGAAAGTTGTGACTAAACTTACACTGAAAATCAGAAATTTTTCTTGATCTGGGAGCTCTCAAGGAAATCTGTCTCGTTACACTAGAATATCAAATCATAAACCAATTTATTAAGGACTTTTTTTCTGTACTAAGAACCTGATGTAAATTGCAGTGACCACTAAGATATCTTTCTCAGTTAACTATTTCTAGTTATCATTTGAAGAATAAAAGTTAACATCTTAAATCATGCCATAGCTTAAATTTGTTTCTATCACCAAGTTATTAATTTTTTCATTCTCTCTCAATTTCTGTTAATATACAGACATAGCTATCAAAATAGAAAAATAATTCCCACTTTACAATAATTATCTTATTACATGCTTAGAAAAACCTTTATTTCATAAAATATTTTGTTACCAATAGATTTCTTAAAATATTATACAATATTTTTGAGTATGTACAATATTTTGTGTATAATACACAATATACAATATTTTGTGTAGTCATTATCACTAGGATTATGATATCTGATTGATTTATACATTTTCCAAGTATTATCCATGGATAATATTCATTCATCCTCTCAAATATATCTTGAATAGCTCTTAAGTATCAAGCACTGTTCTACATTCAATGGATACAGCAATAAAAACAGCAAAGTGTTTATGTTTAATGTGCTTTCTATTACATGGGAGAAGAGGCAGATAATATGCAAATAAATGGAAAAATGATAGTAATTGGCTTGGAGACAAAGCAGGGGAAATTAGATCAACAATAACCATATGGGCCAAGATTGATATTTTATATAGTGTAGTCAAGAAGAGCCTTTCTGTTTAGGAGACAGAAACCACACAGTCTTTGAATAACAAAGATTCAACTTTGAGATTTATGAACTATTAAAGGGGGTTAGAGTAATAAGGAATCAGCCACTAGGAAGTAAAGAAAAGTCTAAAGAACAGGGATTCTAGATGTAGCATGTGGGGGCTTTCCAGGTGGCACAGTGGTAAAGAATCCACTTTCTAATGCAGGAAATGCAAGAGACCTGAGTTTGATCCCTGGGTAGGGAAGATCCTCTGGAGGAGAAAATGGCAACCAACTTCAGTATTCTTGCCTGGGAAATCCCATGGACAGAACAGCTTCGCAGGCTGCAGTCTATGGCATGGCAGAGTCAGACAGGATTGAGCAACTGAGCAAAATTGAGATGTAGCATATAGCAGCCATGCCCCCTGGGGCAAGATGAAGTACAAAAGAGGATTCTTTTACCTTGGCCAGGACTGTGATCCAGTCCCTGTTGGAAATGGTATGGTGATGGCTCATCAAATGGCAAACAAGTCACGTGGTGTCACACCAGTGGAAGTTCCTGGTAATCTGTCCTCTTGAATGCCAGGGAAAACTTCAGCAGAGGTATGTTGATCAAGAGTCTTCTTCAGCACTACAGTTCGAAAGCAGCAATGAAATAGTTTTGAACAGAGAATTAATATGATCAGATATCTCTTGATAAGGATAACTCTGGTTGATTGGTTGAACAGAGAGAATCGAAGTTAAAAGTAGAAAAAGAGACATTGGTTTTAAACTGTAGTAGTAATCTAATGGGAGTTAACCAGTTAATTTGTCTAGAATGCTAATGGTAGAGATGGTGGGCAGTGGTCAATATTATACCTACACACATGCCACGCACATACCTAAACACACATACACCCACTAAATTTAAAGAGAGGGTTACAGAGTTGTATAAAACAGTATAAGTGTTAGAGAAGACTAAATTTTGGATTTAGTAAATGGAAGAATGAAGTTATTTCTAAAGTGAGAAAGATGGCAGAACGGTAATGCTTTGTATGAAAATGAGGTGTCCCCTTTTGGCTACTTCATGACTGATATGCCTCTTATAATTTTTAATTATATATTTACATTTTAATTGTAATATAGGTGATTAACAATGTTTTGTATTTTTACTTTTTATTTTAGATTGGCACATATAAATATTGGCACACTTGACTTGGGCTTCACTGGTGGCTCAGAAGGTAAAGAATCCGCCTATAAGGTGGGAGGCCTGGGTCTGATACCTAGGTTGGGAAGATCCCCTGAAGGAGGACATGGCAAGCCACTCCAGTATTGTTACGTGGAGAATCCCCATGGAAAGAGGAGCCTGGTGGGTTACAGTCCATGGGGTCACAAAAGTTGGACACAACTGAGCAGCTAAGCATAGCACAGCTCATACTTGATTGGCAATGTTGTGTTAGTTTCAGGTATACAACAAAAGTTATTCAACTACGCATATACTTTATCTATTCTTTTTCAAGTTCTTTTCCACTTAAGTTATTACAGAATATTGAGTAGCAATAGATCCTTGTTGGTTGTCTGTTTTATACATGGTAGTGTGTATATCCTAGAGGAAGAAATGGGAACCAACTCTAGTATTCTTGCTCATAAAATTTCATGGGCAGGGAGCTTGATGGACTAAAGTTCATGGGGTTGCAAAGAGCCAAAAGTGGTTGAACATGCACACATGCATATGTGTATATGTTAATCCCATATTTCCAGTGTATCCCCAGCCCTTCCTCTTTGGTAATCAAAAGTTTGTTTCTAAGTCTGTGAGTCTGTTTCTGTTTTCTAAATAAGTTCATTTATATAATTTTCAGATCCTGCATATAAGTAATATCATATATTTGTTTTTCTCTGACTTACTTCCATAGTATTATCAATCTCGAGGATCATCCATTTTGCTGCAAATGGTATTATTTCATTCTTTATATGGCTGAGTAATATTCATTTTATATATATAGATAGATAGATAGATAGATAGATAGATAGATCTCACATCTTCTTTGTCCATTCATCTGTCAGTAGACATTTAGGTTGCTTCCATATCTTGGCTATTACAAATAGGGCTGCAGTGAACATGGGGTGCATATATCATTTTGAACCATAGCTTTTTCTGGATATATGCCCACGAGTGGAGCAGTTGGGGTGGTTCACGTGGTAGCTTTATTTATTGTTTTTTAAGGTCCCTAAATACTGTTTACCACAGTGGCTGTAACAATTTACATTCCCAACAAGAGTGTATGAGAGTTCCCTTTACTCCACACCCTCTCCAGCATTTGTTTGTAGACTTTTTGATGACAGCCATTATGACCAGTGTGAAGTGATAGCCCACTGTCGTTTTTATTTGCATTTCTGTAATAATCTTTCCATGTGCCTCTTGGTGATCTGTATGTCTTTTTTGGAGAAATGTCTATATAGCTCTTCTGCTCATCTTAATTTTTTTTTTAATTTTTATATTGAACTGTATGAGCTGTTTGTAAATTTTGCACATTAATCCCTTGTCAGTTGCATTGTTTGAAAATATTTTCTTCTATTCTGTGGGTTGTGTTTTCATTTTGCTTACGGTTTCTTTTTCTGGGCAAAAGCTTTTGAGAGTAATTAGGTCTCATTTGGTTTTGTTTTTATTTCTATTACTTTAGGAGACAGATCAAAAATGTATTACTTGATTATCATGCTTTTGTTTTCACTTGTCTCTAAGTATTTTTTTTTTTTTAATTTTTTCTTTGATTTCTTCGGTGATCCATTGGTTGTATAGTAGTATATTGTTTATTCTCCACTTTTTTATTTTTATTTTTTTTTTTACAGTTTAGTTGTTCTTGTAGCTGATTTCTAATAGCATGGTCAAAAAGATGCTTGATAGGAATTTTATTTTCTTAAATTGACTGAGACTCACTTTCATCACAGCATGTGATCAGTCCTTGAGAATATACCATGTGCACTTGAATGTGTATTCTGTTGCTTTCAGATGAAGTGATCTACAAATATGAATTAAGTTCACCTGGTCTAATTGTCATTTAAGGCCTTATTATGTTTCCATATTGATTTTCTCTCTGAATCATATGTCTGTTGATGAGAATGGGATTTTAAAGTCCCCAACTATTATTTGTTACTATTAATTTTTTCTCTTTTGGCTGTTCACATTTGCTTTATATAATATGCTGAGGTGGTCTTAATGTTGATTGCATATATATTTACAATTGTTATATCTTCTTCTTGGATTGATCCTTTCTTTATTACGTACTATCCTTCTTTGTCTCTTGTAACAGTCTTTAAGGTCCATTTTATCTAATATGAGTATTTCTACAAAAGTTTTCTTTTGATTTCCATTTGTATGGAAGGCCTTTCTCCATCCCCTCATTTTCAGTCTGTGTGTCTGGGTCTGAAGTGGGTCTTTTGTGGGCAGCATATGTATGGTTCTTGTTTATGTATCCTTTCAGCCATCCTATGTATCATGATTGAGGACTTAATCTGCTTACGTTTAAGCTAATTATTGATATGTATGTTCTTACTGCCATTTTGTTAATTTTTTTGGATTTGTTTCTGGAGGCCTTTTTTCTCTCATTCCACTCCCCCTCCCTTTGTTCCCTTGTCTTGTGATTTATTGACTAGCTTTAGTATTGTGCTTGGATTGCATTTTCTTTGTTGAGTGTATATCTATTATAGGTTTTTGGCTACCGTGAGGTTTTGATATACCAGTCTATATATAAAAAAAAAATATTTTTTTAAGTTGCTGGCCTTTTACTTTCAAATGCATTTCCAGTATTCTGTATTTGTCCCCTCTTCTCAAGATTGCTGGCTTTGATATCATATTTGTGTATGGAATTATTTCCTACCTTTACTGTATCTCTGCTTTTATCAGTGAGCTTTTAGTTTCAGATATACACCAAAGTGATTGTTATACATGAATATATACCTGCTTGTTTTAGGTTATTACAAGATGATGAATATTGTTCCCTATACTATATCATAAGTCCTTGTTTGTTTTCTATGTTATATATAATTGTGTGTATACTTTAATCCCAAACTCCTAATTTATCCCTCTGCCCATTTAGTAACCATGTTTGTTTTCTATGTCTGTGAATCTAGTGCTGTTTTGTAAATAAGTTCATTTGAACTTATTTTATATATATATATATATATAATTTTAGATTCCACATATAAGTGGTATCATATGATACGGAATCAAGATTTCTGGGGAAAATATCAATAACCTCAGATACGCAGATGACACCACCCTTATGGCAGAAAGTGAAGAGGAACTAAAAAGCCTCTTGATAAAAGTGAAAGAAGAGAGTGAAAATGTTGGCTTAAAGCTCAACATTCAGAAAACTAAGATCATGGCATTCAGTCCCATCACTTCATGGGAAATAGATGGGGAAACAACAGAAAGAGTGGCAGGCTTTATTTTGGGGGGCTCCAAAATCACTGCAGTTGATGATTGCAACCATGAAATTAAAAGACACTTACTCCTTGGAGAGAAAGTTAATGACCAAGCTAGACAGCATAGTAAAAAGCAGAGACATTACTGTGTTAACAAAGGTCTGTCTAGTCAAGGCTATGGTTTTTCCAGTAGTCACATATGGATGTGAGAATTCATTAGAAAACTGAGTGTGGAAGAATTGATGCTTTTGAACTTTGGTGTTGGAGAAGACTCTTGAGAGTCCCTTGGACTTCAAGGAGATCCAACCAGTCCATCCTAAAGTAGATCAGTCCTGGGTGTTCATTGGAAGGACTGATGCTGAAGCTGAAACTCCAATACTTTGGCCACCTGATGTGAAGAACTGATTCATTTGAAAAGACCCTGATGCTGGGAAAGATTGAGGGCAGGAGGAGAAGGGGATGGCAGAGAATGAGATGGTTGGATGGCATCACCGACTCAATGGACATGAGTTTCAGTAAGCTCTGGGAGTTGGTGATGGACAGAGAGGCCTGGTGTGCTGCAGTTCATGGGGTTGCAAAGAGTTGGACACGACTGGGTGACTGAATTGAACTGAACTGATGATACTTGTCTGACCAGTTAGCATCATAATCTATAGGTCCATCCATGTTGCTGAAAATTGTATTATTTTTCCTTCTTTTTTATAGCTGAGTAATACCCCACCATGTGTGTGTACGGCATTTTTGTCTGTTCCTCTGTTGATGGACACATATGTTGCTTTCATGTCTTGGCTGTTGTAAATAGTGCTGCTATATACGGGGTTCATATATCTTTTTGAACTAAAGTTTTCTCTGTATATATGCTCAGAAATGGGATCTCTAGATCATATAACAACTCTATTTTTAGTTTAAGGAGCCTCTAAACTCTTTTTCATAGTGGTTGTACCAGATTACATTTCTACCAACAATGTAGGAGAAACCCTACCCTCTTTTTACCCTACTCTAGCCTCCCTTTTCTCCTCACTGATCATTTGCAGACTTTGTGATGATAGCCATTCTGACAAGGTGAGCTGATACCTCATTGTAGTTTTGCGTTGCACTTCTCCAGTAATTTAGCAATGTTGAATAAGATGCCTCATTTAGATCTAAGTGGAGACATCCAGGAATCATATATGATAGAAGTATAGCTACAGAAGTCAGACTGAATTCCCTCAGAGAGGTAAGGAAAAGTCA